AATTAAATAAATGAAAAAATTAGCTTTATCAACCTTGTACATATACTGATGAAGAATTTTTTTAGAGTCAAATGGTGCAATTTAAGATGAAAAGAACAATGGTAAATTTAGACTTTTATTGAACAGCGCACATATAATTCTTTTTAAAAGCTTTTCTCATCAAGTCAATTGAAAAATTCATCAATATGACCAAGTTTTTGTGTTTCAGATGACAAGAATTTGTTTTAAATAGTACTTGTGCAGTGTATTGAGGGTGATCAAAAAAACCCATATTTTCTTTTTACGTATATTCATAGTTAAAACGTTGACGTTTATATTTTGGTGAATCATCCATTGATAAACATTGATTATTAGATGTTTAAATAAAAAGAACAAAAGATAAAGATGAAATAACAAATAGAAAAGAAACGTCCAGAATAGAATTACTTACATATTAAGACATTCGATGTTATTAAATTATTTAATATTATATTTGCGATATTCATTGATTCTTGCTGAATAAAAGCTTTTTATTGTTCAGCATTTTGTTTATTAATATAGCTAAGATATTGATATCGCATGAGAAGACTAAATCAAAAATAAAAATGACATTGTTATTAACAGCTGTTGTTGTCCTTTCACTATTGCTTAATGAACTAATCAGTACTGATGAATTTTATTGGTTTAGTTTGTTTAAGTGTTTGTGATATAGAAGCTGAAAGTTTGAGAAAAAATTGAGTAAAGTCATTTTTAATAGATAATGCTGATTGTGGTTGAGTATTTGTACGACATGATATTATGGATTTTTTTCAATGGTGATAGTTGTTTTGAACAATTTGTTATTTTGTTAGTATTATTAAGATTATCAAGAAAATTTGATGATGAAAGAGAAAAATCTTTGTTATCGAAATAAAGTGAATCTGATTTTGATGTAGGCCATTCGTTAGAAAGCATTTGTCTATATATTTACTGTATAATCATTTAGTTTCGTTGTAGTATTTTATTTTATTTTTATAAGAATATGCAATATTGAGAACAAAAAAAAAACAAATAACACCAGATCTTCACTTGTAAAATAAAAACAAATAAATCGAAGAATTATTATCAAAAATGGAATTAAAATTAGATCAAATATTTCTATTTAGGGTAGCTCAGAAACCACGATGAGTAAAAAAAAATATGTAGATTTGAGTTATGTTATAATCCGAGCAATTGATATTTTTATCATTGATAACAATAATATGAATAGTTCATATTTATAAGACAATGTCAAATATATATAAATACTGTTATGAAGGAATTTCATTGACATAAGTAAAGAGCATTAATCGTGAACGAATGATACGGTAGTTTTTCAATTATGTCTCAGCATTTATAACTGAAACTTTTTTGAATATATAAAATAAAAAGATATTAATGTATAATATAAATTTGAGACTGCTATGAGAAAATAATGCAAAAAAAAAACAAAAATAAAATAAAATTTGTTCTTTAATATTGATTTGAGAAATGAAATTTTTTTTTCATAAATCATCAATAATTACATTTTCAAAAGAAAAATTTTTAATGTTTGTCTTATGAATATGAACTGTTTTATATTTCTTTATCAACGATAAAAACATCAACTCGTTTAGTTGAATTATGATGATAATATTTAATCTTTTTGTGTTTTTTGTTCGATAAAGTGACTTTTGAGCCATGTTGTATATATGAATATATCAGAATTGAAAAGAGAAACAATCCTAATGATTTTCTTGTTCATCTTCACTTTCGCTAACAATCAAATTATTTTTTGATCCGTCACTATTACTCAAAAGACGATACTGATCAGGTACAATTCTTGTTTCTACATAAATCAATTTTCGACAATGACGACAAGCACATATTGTATAAATAAATGCCGTTACAATCACCAAAATAATAAAAATAATAACTAAATTACCAAAAAAAAAAACATCAATAAGAATGTTTAAAATTGAAGTTTTTTTTAAAATTTATTCACCTAAAATGTTCGACAAATTACTTGGTGAAAAATCGATTAGTATATGTTTAACATTATCTAATGAACCATTTGTTTTACGTTGATTCAAATGAAGTATATAACACATTAATGGATAAATATCAACATTACGAAATGGTTCAGCTAGGAGATTAGAACGAAATGCTGGTCCAAATCCATAAAATATTGGATGCATTGATTCAGCTCGATTATCATAACCATGATCGCCGAGTAAATCTGCATCTGTAGTATTTGATACAAATACTTCATAACCAACTTTACCAACAATTAATATATCTTGAATATAGAATAATAATTATATTTATTTTATTTTCATAATAAAACTATTACTTACCACCAATTCGTACATTAGATTTATAATGATATTCATCGGGTATTTGAGCTTTTTTGTATACTTCATAATTTGGAATAGGTGATAAACTAGCGTAGATACGATCGATATCTTCTTCTAAATTATGAAATTTTAAGGTTAACTTTCGAAATTTTTATTGTGATAAAATCATCCATGTCAAATGTTGAAACAAATGAATCTATCATAAGATCTTCCACATACTAGAGCCCATCGAATCGGGTCTGAGTCTGAAAATTTTGAATCCGACGAGCTCTATCACTCATCCTTAAGAATCGGTATTGGGCTCAATATATTCAAATCGCATGAAGTTTGCAGGATATGTTGAAGCTATCGTAGAGAGACTATGCTAAAATTTTTAGTCCTATATCATGATGTTTTCGGAAGATATTCATCAAACAAGAGCCAAATAAAAGCTCATGTGCCAATAGAAAGTCCTCTGTTCGCCACCTTTCTATAGATTTTATTTTATTTTTATTTGCAACAACGTATTCGACCTCTTACTTTTATACGGAGAAAAAGATTGACAAGTTCAATACTTTGAAAGACTCTCAAAAAATGATCATCTATTTATAGAAGTGATTTCTTAGATAATAATAAGAAAATATCTTAATTCTAAAAACAGGTACTGCAGCTTCACATACTCATTCAAATAAAAAAAAAACCATTGGCTACAATGAAGCTTCTTCGAGAATTTTGAAATGTACGATTAGAAAAGCATCCTCTTCAAGTAGAAGATGACAGAAATTTTTGGCAAGAAAATCGACGTGTTAAATAAAAAAATGCATAGTATTTGTCAAAGATCCAATCTCAATTTCATACATGAACTTTTTTTTGAAAAGATAATTTCTTAATTCGGATTCAATATATGATTGTTCAAAAGAAAAAAAAAATTTCAATTATTAAACCTACTTACTATTATTAACAAATATATTAGCAAATGAATGACCACCATATGCTGAAAATAATGATTTATCAATATAGTCTTCAAGAAAAATTTTATGATTTTTCGGCACATCATGCATTCCATGATCAGAAGTTATAATAACATTAAGATTTGTTTTTAAATTTTTATCATTATCAATTAGTTTTAAAAGTACTCCAACATAATCATCACATTCTTGTAATGTTTCATTCATTTGAGATGATATTGGACCATAA